ACCTCCTGCCCAAGAAGTCCCTAAACCATAGCTTGCTGGAAGCTGTAAGGGTATTCCAGAGGATTACCATGCACATGTCCAGACTTTGTATAATTCCCCTAAACAGCTGCTCTTTATTTTGATGGAGACCCTTCCCTCTCAGTGCTCAGTACAGCCAGTCACATGTTCTTAGGGTTTTTTAGGCAAGCAGTGCAAGAAGAAACTGTTTTAGGGATAGTGCTTAAGGACCGTAAGAATTTAAATTTTACTAGACAGTGTGACAGGTGCTAGGGGAACTCTTTGTTCTGTCACACTGATTCACTACCATTTTCAAAGGCTCAGGATGAAAAAAGCGCTTGAGGTTTTTTCTTCTAGTTCAGACTTAGACTGTTGTTCACAGGTGGAGGAAATACGTGAGAAACAAGCTGCAAATTGGAAAGCAGTATAACAAATAACTGGATTACAAAGAGCAGAAAGGTTAGGGGAAAAGAAACTATACATCCTCACATACATTTCATTTGTTGATGTCGTTTGTGATTGTACTCTATATTTGGGAGTAAGAACTCATAGACATGTAGGCATGTATGTAAGTATAGACACACACATATATACCTCAGATTTTCCTTTTCTGTCCTGTATGAAGAACAAACTGGATCCAAGATGCACACGGCTCAGGTTGTAATACATGATAAGATTAGAAAAGGAGGGAGAGCATCTCACAGGGAGATAATGCAGCACAGAGACTTATGCAGGCAGCTCCACCGCAGCCTGCATGACTCTCCTTCCCTGATGTGGGGATCCCCATTTCCACATCCATGATCCCATATCTTATTCACCCACCCTACCTAAAAGGAAAGGCACTGTGCATGCAAACCAACACAGCTGAAGACTGGCACCGTCTATTTCAATCCCTGAACACAGCAGTGGTCACCACGAGCTGGTCTTCTGTGCAAGAGGCTAACCAGCAACAGAAGAAGGATTTACTGCAAGAGAGGCAGGAGAATCCCCAAAAATGCTTTGGAGACAAAACAGAGTCCTCTGAGATTTCAGAAAGCAGACTGCGTGAGGGAGTTGGTTGCTGTCCCACTGATGTATAAACCTTTTCTGCTTCCTTAAAGTTTGTGTGTGCAGGAAATTTCTGTGGTTTATGCAGTTATTTTGCATAGGATTCCTGAAAAATGCAACTGAAGCCACTCAGAGAAGGTTTCCTAAGAGGAAAAGACTAAGCAGTGGGAATGTGCAACCCACTCTCAAAAGAGAGTTGGACACTGGTTGCACGGAAGTTGCAGGCGTGTAGGTTGTAGAGCTGAAAGCACTCATCCCTCCCAGCCCAGACCCAGAGGCAGTAGTACTCTGTAGTTAGAGCCCTTTGTGACAGACTTGTGCCCATTTGGGAAGCAGGACTGGCTCAGGATCATAAACCACCTCTTTGCTCCATTCAGTTATGACTGGTTTGTGTTACAGGAGATGCTAAGGGTCTTGGAAAACTAATATTTACGGGTACCTTATCATGGCCTCGGCCTGGAGAAAAGATTCAGATTTTCCTAATGCTAGTATAGGAGCATGCTGGGTATGGGATTATCCAGGCAATGCCATCATTTGCAAAAGCCAGCCGTCTACTTCAATCTACTAAAGCAAGCAAAACTTAGAGCAATATATGAAGTACTCCAGTGCGATTTAGAGACAGAGCAACATGGCTACCATCAACCACCCTTTGCATTATTATAGACTGAAGAATCCAGTCTTCTGCTTCACTAGAGGAAGTTCTGGTGCAGCTAGAAATGTTGGTTGCTTTTTTTAAATATTCTCCCTGCTCCTACTAATCTACTTAAAATGCAAGTGTAATTTCACCACCCTTTGTGAGTTTATAGAAGTTGACCCCACCTGCAACAAGAGTGAGTTCAGAATAATTTCTTACTAAAAACTTTAAAATAGTGACACACAAGTTAGAAGCAGTGAAGTGTTCAGTCATCAAAGCAGCAGTGGGCAATAGAAGTTGGTTTTGGAGCTCTGGGACAGAAATAGCATGATTTGAGCTTCTTTCCAATGACTGATACAAACCGTAAATGACTGGCAGTGTAAGCAGGAGTAGCACCATTAGCTGTGGGGACACGATGCAATGACAGCCTAGCAGCTAATTTTTTCATGACTGTCCTTTCACAGCAAATTTCGTACTTACACAATGCTTGCTTGTCCCAATCTATCAGAATACTTAGTGTTTTCCAAGCTCTGGTAGAAGTGAAAGCATGCTAAATGTTGCTTTCATTCTGTGGCTGAGCGGGAGAAAGAAACAGGTTAAAATGTGCCATGGCCTCAGAGAGACACGTATTTTATATTCATTCCTATAGTGTAAACAGCCTTTTTTTGCAGGAACTGTTCTAGCCTGTTCTTGAAAATACTTTCATTTCCCCCTTAAGCTGTCTTAGCTCCCACCTGTAAAGCTTATAATGAGGGCGTGATGCTGACACCTAGAGGAACATAGGTATGAATGTAAATACATTGTATGAGTCTGTAACTCTCTTTCAAAACATGTTTTTTAATAAGGCATCTGTTTAAATTGAGAAGTGAAAGCCTGTAATGCAATACTCCCTCTGTGAATAATCTATAAGGTTAGCGGACACGTTACAATGAATAACAAATAATAGTGGGTTTTCCAGCAATCCAGTTTAATAGCTTCTTCATATGTCTGTGTTTATACATCAAATAAACTTCCAACAAAAAAGTAATGTACAGTTCAAGAAAATACCCAAAGCTATTACCATTTTGGTTTCCTCTTTGTTGATTTACAATTATGTACAAGACTGTCTTATTTGCAATACCCAGTGAAGATTTAATGATTTATTTACAACATCAGCTGGTGCCTTTCACTGTGCAATTGAACTGTCTCCTTTTTGCTCTTTACATTCATAGTAGCAAGAGCCCACTCTTAGGTGCCATTTATGGGTAGGGTTATGAGGTGGACTGAAACAAGGCAAGATTCTCACTACTCACCACAAACATACCTCTGAAAGCCCATTTTCAGATGTAGCTGAAGGAAGATTCCAGTGCCTAGTGCACTGATATAACCATTATATTTACAGTCAACATAATAAGGTGTCTCCACTGAGAATAACATTCCCACTCATATTAGAGGGAGATATGTGCGAGCTGGAGGCATTGTATCTTTAAGCTGGCAGCAGACAAAAGGTATAAGGTGGTAAAGATGCACCCTACTTATCCTGCCAGAGACCTCCAAAGCAAATGAAGACACAAAGTATGCTATCTTTCTAAATGTGTGGAGGATAATCTTTTACAATTCTTCTTACACAAGAGATTAAATTAGAAGGGAAAAAAATTATAAGTTTATCGTAATATGCAAGCTGTTTCATAGAATGACAGAACAACTTGGGCTGGAAGGGACCTGTGGAGGTCATCTATTCCAAAACATTCAAAGCAGGGCCAACTTAAAGTCAGCTTTCAACTTAGAGCAGATTGTTCAGGACTGTGTTCAGTCAAGTTCTGAATATTTCCAAGGATGGAGATTGCACAGCCACTGGGCACCTGTTCCCACGTTTGACTAGCCTTATGGTAAAAAAATTTTCGTAACACCTGATCAGGACTTCCACCTTGAAGGTATAAGGCCCACTGAATCCATCATAGTCCTTCTATTGACAACGACAGTTTTAGAGCATCCTTAAACCAAGTACAAGAAGGGTTATTCTTTCAGCTTTTTGGAAGAAATAATTCATTTTTCCAAGCTATTTTCTGACCCTATCTAGTCAGTAGGGTACCACTGCTTGAAATATTTTCATAGCTTATATCGCAGTGCAACATATGTACCATCCATTGGCATCAAGTAATCAATGCCACAGTTGCACTTCCTTCCTCTGTGATAAATCCAATATTTTGCACATGACACAGCATGTTTATGAGAGCATGACTAGATGCAAATTACTTACATAAAAGGCATGAGGATTTCACCTTAGAATCCTCTCAACAAAGACAAAAACTGTTTGTTTGGGGAGCAAAAGTCAGCACTCTCTGTTATAGTTACATGTGCCTGAGTTTTTGAAATCCCTGTTTTGCCATTGCCTGCTATGCCTTCTGATCATCAACCTTGTTTTGTCGCTCCCAGCTTGAAAGATGCGATCTGTGGTACAGCTTCCTCCAGTAACAAAAGCTACTCCTAGCTGAAACGCTTTTCTAATGTCTATATAAAGGCAGCCACTCACCCAGTCTTTCCATCTCCACAAAACGTTACATGACTCTAGAGGCCATGTGCCCTTTACATCCCTAGCCCTGGCGAATAAAGAAAACAGACAAACTAGAATCAGCTCAGTCTTCACATTCAGCCTGAAAATCCACCTATGGTACATCCTACCCCACAGTGATAAGAACACATAGATATGAAAATCTCGTGGTAACGCTGTCCTCTTACATAATACATATTTTATGACAGTTATAGTCATGAGTGGAATACAAGACTGGTGATATATTGGTGCATATATATTGGTGCATATATATTGGTCATAACTGTTGAGCGAGGTATGTGAACCCTGATAATTGGAGCTACTTCTCTGATTTTATGTCTTCAGAAGGAAATAGCAAAAAACCTGTTAATTCTGGGCATCAAAATAAGCCTTGCTGTATGTAGACAGACAAAGAACAGCAGGAGAAACACACACTGAGAGGCTGATGGGCTCATTTGCATGGCAGGTCACACTCGTTGCATTTGGCAGACAGAAAAATAAGGCTTTCCCTGTATAATCCTCTTATAAGATCCAGTCTTCAGTAGGGTAAATGAGATTCAAAATATTCTTTCTCCCCGTAATACAGATGCACTGAGTAGCTCCTACCACCAATGTGAGAGAGGTGCGTGGAGGGAAGGAAAGGCAAAATCACGTATTAAAAAAAGGTTTCTGATTGCCGCAGAAATCATGACAGCTGAATGGAGAAAGATGTTCCACAGGCATTTCAGCAGAATTACAAGATGCGGCAAGGTGTTGCATTTCGATTCTCTTCACTGGTTTGGCTTTGTTTTCTTAATACTTGTTTGATAACCCACAGACCATTCTCAGGCTATAGCAACAAATGATCTCTTTGAAAGTCTTCCTCATTTCCTGGCTACGAAAGGCATAGATCAAGGGATCAATCACTGAGTTGCACATAATGAGAATGAGGTACATGTTGAAGTGAGACATGAAGCAAACACAGTAGAGGTTTTGAGGGCAGGAGATCATCAGGATGAGATGAAGGAAGAATGGAGCCCAGCAAACAATGAAGATGCCAAGAAGCATAGTCAGAGTGATGGCTCCTTTCATGCTGGTTCTTTGACGGACAGAGTTGTACCCAGGCAAAGCAGCTATTTTCTTCATGTGAGTACGAGCCAGGAGGAACATATGGATGTACAGTGAGACCATGAGGAACAACATGGTAAAAAACATAGTGATGAGACAAATGATCACGTAAGTTGATTCATAATAAAGAATGAAGATAATGCCACAGCCTGTGCAAAAGGTCCAGATGCATGCAATAATAAGCCCTGATCTTTTCACTGTCATGATGTTGTGATAACGTAGGGCATAGAATATAGTGATATACCTGTCTACTGCTATAGCCAGTAAACTGCACATGGAAGCCACCACAGAAATGCAGATCATTGAATCAAAGACATTGTCTATGTGACGGACAAAGGCATCTTCCATAATTATGTGTCTATTGTTTATTAAGTATATCGTTATGGTCTCCCAAGCATTAGACACACTAACCAGCATGTCAGCCACTGCTAAACTGCAAACAAAAAAATACATGGGTGAATGCAAGTTCTTGTTCTTAACTATTGCACATATAACTAAGATATTTTCAAGGAGGCTTACAATGCCCAGAGTTAGGAACACCTCAGCCGCAATGACCACCTGCTCACATGGTGATGACTTGCTCTTGACAGTAGGCACAGTAAAGTTGCTGCTAAAGGCACTCAGATTTAGTTCAGAAACATACAGTTGAGAGGACGTGTTCATCTCTGGAAGCAAACACGTTCTGTTCTTTCTGAGGGACTTGCCAAGGAGTGCGGTGAATGCATTTTCCAAAAGGCAAAAGACCCTGCCAAAAAAAACATAGCATGACGAGAACAGGCAGAAGTTGACAAAACAAATATCACCCATTTCTATTTAATTTGGCTTGTACACATCCTGCCTCTTCCACACCATATTCTTCTACTGATTCTAAATTAACCTCCGATTGGCTCAGAGTTTTTCTACCCATCCTTACTGTGAAATGAAAACCACAAACTAATGAAGAGATTTATGCACTCTTCATTCATAGTTTTATTTATTCTATCCAGTCCCCCAGAAGTGAGCACAATGTCCTAGAAATTCTGCTGAACACCGAGCAACAAACAGTTTTCAAAGTCGCAATTCTCAGACCCCAGAAATGCAGGAGAATATAGTATTAGGTTTGGCAGAACCTGCTCACTTGAATACAATATATAGAAGTTTGAATTATTGCCACAATTAAGAACTGAACATTTTCAGTAAAAGACTTAAATGCTTTCCTGACCTTTGTACTTCTTAACTTCGCATGAACTGTGTTATAAACAGCTTATGTGTGCAATACTAACATGCTCAATTAAGAGCATAGTATTAAAGACCTAACCAAGGCAAATCCATACATTTCAGGATACACTAAGGCTACAGAATTGGTATGGGTGGAATTCTGTCATAAAAATAAGTTTTCTATTCTGGATCGTCAGCATTTTATTCAATGCTTTTTTGGTAATGACAATATTCAGGGCAAGTTGTAAGCCATCAGATTCTTAATAAGGGGAACACTTAAAGCTGATTGTCAGTGACTTGTTGCAAATAAAATTCAAAGCATATCAAGCTAACTAATTTTCAGTTTTTAGAAGTAACCTTTTGTTTGCAATCAAGAATTAACTGTACCTGTTTACCAGAGCTGCTCCTTCAGCTGCTCTTCCTCTTCATCGCCTGCAACCTTTCCTCCAGAGAGCAGAAGTTTTAGCCCCCCCTCCTCACCCGACATCTGGGGCTGGGGACTCCTTGGTGGGAATGGATGACAAAAATAGAGGAAAAGCAATGATTAAATCCAGAGAGTCAAGGCCGACCACGTATAAATTACTTACTGTGCAACTGCCTTTTTATAGACTCCAAGCAATAATGACTTCAGTGCTCAAACTGTGGCTCCTCCTCCCCTTCTTTGCCCCTCTGAACTTCTCTTTTCACAGATTTTGTTAGCAAAGGCTTGGGTTTTTACCACCATCTAGTGGTCTTCTCTTGTCTTTCTAAGTGAAGAGTGATTCTGATCTAAAATTCATTATGAGCTTTATATATTTTAAAGTATTAAAAGGAGAAATACACTAAGCATGGTCCTTTCCAAAAACATTACTTTTTTGTTTTCTCTGCTGTTGCTGGTACTCACTGACAATAAGTTCGTACTGCAATAGTACTCCAAAAGAGGTGAGAGCAGAAGACTGTTATTGAAGAGGGAGGCTTATTACTGTTACAAACATTTGTCTTATATTCACAGTTATCATTTTGCAAGAATAAGAACCACACTGTTACAAAACTCAGAGAACATACAGTCAAGCCCATCACACCACTAATAGAAGATATAACTCAGGTAATTCGTGTGAAAAAAAAGAACAAAAAAATGGTTGTATTCCGGTCCCCTTGCTTCAGTTGAGATTTCGGTGCAGACGTGGAAGGAGTGAGTGCACAGTGCATCGTGCAGGGAGCCAGGGCTTCCCAAGATGGATGTGAATTCCCCCAGGTTTCACAGGGTCTAAGAGCTGGGAAACTCAGTGCTCAGTATTGCAACGGCTGAAGTCCCTCTGCGGGTCTGTCAGTCAGGCAGTCCATGCTCATTCTGGGCCTTACCCAAAAGGTGGCAAAATTAGTGAAAGTTTTTCTTTAGCAAATGGACTCTGCTTCTGCACGCAGACTGAGGAACGCAAAGCACACGCCTTCCTGACACTACCAAATGCCCTTTATGTTACCCGCTAACCGGCCAGTCAAATACCATGCATGATTTGAATTTAGCTTGAGATAAAAAGCCTCTGCTTCTCCAAATCACCACCTTTCCACAAATTAAGGGTTTGGGGGTTTTTTGTGGTATATAACAGCTTCAAATGCTTATTTTTAACCTATAGCATTTTTCTTAAAGAATCACTACCAACAAAAACACATATTTTACTGCTGTATCCTGTGCCATTTTTGTGTTTTCAGTGTTCAGATAGAGTTTATTGTTATAATGCAGCTAACCCCATATTTCTGATTTTATATTCCACAGAAGCTTCCTCTATTGTTACTGCTAGCTTCACTCTAGGGACACTGAAAGACCTGTGCCATGGTATGAAATGTTCTTATGTACAAATAGTCCCGGCACCAAAGGAGACAGTGAAAAGCATTTTTATTAATTTCAGTAAAATGGCTCCTCTAGCATTATGCAGTTATAGTCTGGAGATGAACTTTGCATGCCCCTTCTCCCCATTACAGGAAAGAGAATTTAGATTATCACAAAATAGGGGTAGCAAACTATGCTCAAGTGCAGGTGTTAGATCTGAGCAGATAATGGCAGCTAGTGAACAGCAACACTCCCTGCTGTATCCAACCTGTCTGTGTGCTCATAGTTCTTCGCTATGCCCAAAAGAAAAAAATAGAGGATGCCCATCTGCTGTTCTCTTTCTGTTCTTTAATGTACAGCAAGTTTTATTTCTCCTAGGTTATCTTTAGCTAACTTATCTTAGGTATCTTTGGTTATCTTTTGCATAGTTTCTGATTTTCCTACTGTAGACCCTGGAAATCATGTACCTAAAAGTAAAATTTTACTTCTTTCACTGTTCCTATATCTACTGATGGGCAGATGCTGTGCTCTTTCCACTTCCAATTATTTTTCTTCCAGTATCCTATTCTTCTGTTTATTACACTCTCTCTTTAAATTCTGTTCATCTTCCCATTTACAAATTCCTCTGTATGTTCAGTTTAATAAATTTTTTTGCAGCCCAGCTTAGCTGCCTTTACAAAAGTTCTCACTGTACCTGGTAGGACTCAGTAGACCAGCTGATTACAAGAAATAAATCACACGTCAGACTGGATGGTTTGGCTGTTATTCCTTAGAGCAATGCCAGGTCTCTCACATATAAATTACAAATCAGCCTTTGGATTCTTCCTCCGCAAGACAGACACTGCAGGCGTAAACCCTGGGACAAGTGTCTACACTAGACAAAGAAACTCCCTTATTTACAAAACTGGCAGAAAAATTACCTGCCTGGAAACTGGGGTAGTGATATAGATGTAGTTTGTTTATGTTAGAGGATGAAATGAAAAAAATACTTTTTTTTTTTCCAAAAAAAGAGTGTTTTGTCGTTGTATTGCTGCAGCAAGAAGCTATGAGCGTAAAAGTTTGAGAAGGAAGTAGCTGAAGGGGCACCCAATTAGCAGTGGGTGGAGGCACGCAGGTGAGTTATAAGGATGGTCAGTAAAGGGGCACAGGAGCAGATCTTTGGATTCTCTCAGGAGAAATCCAAGAGCGGCTTCACCTTCCAGCTGGAGGACTCCTGACTGAATAGGCTGGTCTTTCAGATGTTCATGATCTTGGTGTTCGGCTCCCTTGTTTGTTCAGTTAAATAAATTCTCTGTCTTTACAGACAGGCTGGTGCTCGGTGGTTTCCAAGGCCACAAGGATCATGACTGGACTGCCAGTGTGGGCAAACAGTACTCCACGCATCACAAAGCCTGTGTCGGTATTTAGCTGTTGGGCTGTACCGACACAGCACAAGACCTGATCCTTTGAGTGCCCACAGAGCGGGCACCCTGAGGAACACACGGAAGCCTCTGTCCTGTCTCCAAACCAGCATTTTCTTTCCACAGATGGAAAGAGGAAGGGAGGCTGGACTGGGGGCTTGGGGTGTGGGTGCACAGCTCTCCCTGCAGCCTAGAAACACACACAGCTGGGTCAAAAAATACGGAGCCTGGGTTTGGAGCCCGGGTTTGGAGCCCTTGGGAGTGCTCCTGAGGTCCATGGTATACGTATAGCCAAAAGGGATGCTAAAATGTGTCTTCAGGAAAAGGTGGTTTGTTCATGCAACATCTTACCTGGAGTAAGAAAAATGCTAACTTCTTAAAGTTCCTACTCCACTGAACTCAAGAGTTTGCTTTGGGCCCCAGGCAAAAAGATCCAAAGTGGCCCAAAAGGACATGAGTGACCATAAGAAAGAAGTAAAACACGATGCCAACAGAGAAAGAGATGTCAGGGCCTGTTTCGATCCCATGCCGTTTCTTTCCATTGTGAAGCGGTGAGAGAGAGCAGAAAGCCGCTCCGGCCACGTACCTGCCTCTGGAGCGGGAGCCGTGACAGCGCCACTGGCAGGAACACCCAGCCCCTGCTGCCACCACCAGCGATCACGCCAAAGCTCCCCTTCGCCCCGCGCGTCCGCTGGGACAGGAGAGGCCGTGACTACCCCGACCCGTAGGCCAAGTTACATCATGTCAAAACCAGCAGGGAATTGCATGCCGCCTTCGTGACAGCAAGATACCGATTTTATCAATGAATGCAAAAATGAGGCCAACGGTACAACGTGCCCCCAAAGAAGTTTCTGTAAGAAGAGCTTATTACACTCAGATGCATTCTGGTATTAATCTGTGCTAATCTTAAACGGTTCAGAGAAGAGGTTTACTGATGCTAATACAAATCTACCCAATTTGTCTAGTGCTAATACATTGAAGCAATTTAATTCCAGTGTCCTCCCGTAGCTATTTTTATCTGTTTGAAGAAAATACATTTGTCCTTCAAAACGTAGCTTTGGATTGTTGCTCTTGGCCTATTTACGAAATCTCTCTTCTGTCTACTCCTTGTCTATGCTGTCATTAGCGTAGTATTTCAGAGCCACAGAGGATCCTCTCAGACCGCTGTAAGAGAGAACCCATGGATCACCGAAAGTGAAGATCGTGGCCTTCTCTGCATTTGAATCGCATAACAAATGGTCTCTAACTTCTCAAACTGAGAAAACTATTTCTCTTGACCTCTGTGCTGAGTAGCTTTGGCTGAGCCCCATCAAGGTTCCCACTGTTACCTCCCCAGCATTACCATCCAGCTAGCCTTTTATAAAGACAGGCAATTAATCGAGGTAAAAAATAAAAGGCATCAACACTGCCTGTCCTTAAATAAAAAAGCTGGATGAAGTGGTGATAGAACTCTCTGTAGTTCAGTCCCCTCCCCTGTGCAGGGGAGCTGAAAGCCTAAAAGTTAGGCTTTGCAGTAAGCAGTGGTATAGTGAATACACTCTTTTCCATCGCGGCCCTAATCTTCAAATCAACACTTCAATGTTTTTTGCAGGAAGAATCACAGAAAAGCACGGCTGAAAAAAGACATCAAAATATCAGGTAAACTGTGCCCTGTCAAAGGGTGGGATCAGCCATACTTAGTATGACTGCACTAACACTTCTAACCATCACCCCTTTCACCTGAGTGCTTCAAAATGGTTTGAGGTAATCTCTGGCCACTCTCAGTTAGTACCTATCAGTGGTGCTTCTCGCATCAGAGTAGAAAGCTGTGAAAGATGCAATACACGATAAAAGGCATTTTAGAAAGACATATCCTAATAACCTAAACTGGACAATATCATAACTAGCCCCCTAAACTGTAAAAGGGTAATAAGAGCTTTAGTAACTGTCATTTTTATGTGCCTTCTAATGGGAGCCAATTCCAGCAATGAATCATCCCCTAACATTTTGTTAGAGCACGGATCAGCAGTACAGACCTGGTGAATCATACAGAAGTGCCAGCTAGAGACTCAAAAAACCACAGATGACCAGTGAAAGACCGTAGAAACTTTCTGACAGACAGGAGGGGTAATTCAATAATGGACAAACAGACTGGGAAAAAACAAAAACAAAACGAAAAACACTTAGCAGGTTCTTATTGGTTACTACTTTCTACAAGAGAAAGGAAAGTATTTCTTGCTAGACCACAGAGAAGATTTAGTAAGCTTTTATCCATTATTAGAATGATCTAAAATAAGTGATTAAAAATGCTACTTTAATTATATATTATAAGACATTACATGTCTCATTTCTGCAAGCTTTTCTTGCAGTATGGCAA